GATTAGTTGTCTGTCTATATATCAGATAACATGCCACTCTTTATTTGCTTTTATTCTAGAACTCAACTTTCAATAGCTTCATACTTTTATACTAAACTGAGCGCTACCCAAATTTCAAGCCACACAAGAATTCTATTTTCCTTGGACCTTCTTCATATTGAAAGCGTACGACTGTGACGTGCGTGGCCCAGGAATTGCGCACATTGGCTGAGTAGAGCTCAACAGTATGTGAGTGGGGCAGAGTTGATGCTTATCTTCGAGGGTTTCACATTGTTGGTATATCATTTTCCTTTATTAGCCTGGCATGTATCATTTTCCTATAATTGCCTGGGCTCGCCGCAATAACGGCAAACGTGAATGTGCATTAAAAAATGCAAATGACATATATACGAGAATCCTTGGGCGGAATGGCATAATTAAGTGGGTATACAAGCGATAACAATCAAATGAAATAGGTGTAAATTTAATTTGTCTAATGTCTCAATTTGAATAAATACCCCAAAACAAATACACTGCAAAGGTATGTTAATAATAATGGATAAATCGCACCCATGTCCATGGCGGAGATCCACCCTCGCCCGGATACGCATCAAAATTCGAAAATTGAAACACGTCTTACACACCTCACGCAGAGACCTGGCCCCCGACGGGGCAGAGAGCCTGCGCAAAGTCGGATTTTAAAATTCAAAGCACTTCGGGTGTCATTTACAGGGCAACACACACACACACACACAACCAATTGGCAACTGGAACTTGGGATAACTGAATTTGGGGCAATGTCAAAGCAAACGCCATTCTTAACGCATTCTTAAATGTTTTCTCCTGACTAGCTGGCTGACGCCTGATGCACAGACCATGCCATATCAGCCCGTCAATTGGATATTTAAATACAAGCGACACTTTTAATGGCAAAGTGTCAACCCGGGTGAGGGGCGGGGCGGGGCGGGGCTGGGCTGGATGCCGTGCGGGCATGTCTATTCCGAACACGTATCGGTCTTGTCTCGTGCCTGCTGATAAATTGAATATTGTAAAGAAATAATTTAATTTTGACATTTGCCTTTGGTCACGTGAGACTTTTCAAGGAATTCAATCAATTTGAACTTTCTGCTGTACCAATTCTTATAGCTATCATTCAATCCGATTGTAACTTGACCAAAAGTTCTAGAATGTCAAAATAATCTAGATAAATATTAGCACAAAAAAACTTGAAATATGAGCTCTTGTTAAAGTTTTGAGCTCTATTAAGGTTTGAATGTATGTTTCTTTATACCCGATTTTAGACATTGAATTCTTTTACTAAAAATAACATGAGACTTACGTGGAAGAAATAGTTTTAGATTTATTTACCAAAAAATAATAGTTAATTTGATTGTAAATATACTTTTTATAAACTAAATATTAAAATATTTGAGCTGGTTCAAGGTCCGGATTTAAATTTATTAAAATTAAAAAGGACAAACAATTTTGTTTATAGATGTATTTCTCCGGTATATAAATTCTGAGAAATATATGAAATCAAGTAAGAATAATGTTTGTGTAATTAATTAATTAATTAATTTGTGTAAATTAATTTCTAGGTTGTGAGAGGAAAGTTCCAAATATAAATTTCAATCAAATTATTCAACATTTTCCACATATGCATATTAGTTTTTCTACTTTACTTAATTTATTTTTCCCCCATTTTCTGTCTATAGTACAAGTATCTCTAAATAATCAGTTGTTGTTAAAATAGAATAAAACCTCCGGTTTTTATATTCAGAAAAATCAAGCAATTTCCTCCAAGTACGGTTGAAATGTTCAAAATTCATAAGCAAACTCAATGGAATTCAGCGAATTATATCATGTAACGGATTAGAAACTCGTGCGTCAGAGTTTATGATGTGGCATAAAAACGTCTCATTTGGGAATCGTTTAATCCGCCAAATTGTTTACACGCGCAACATTCCACCTGCCCTTGCCACAGTCATCGTCCCAAATCCGGGGCTAACCCAACCCTAACCCAATCCGAGCCCAAGCAGCCCACACTTGTGTTTAAAACAATCGCAAATTTTTGAATTCATTCGAAAATCGTTTAACGGTCGTTGGCTGTTTTTCAGTGACACCTGCGCATTCCCAATGCCAGCCAAAAGATGGCATAACTACCCCCAAACCACGCCCCCTACCCCCCGTCCGCCTGTTTTACGCCCATGACTTGCAGCCGCGTCGCTCGTCGTGGTTTTATTTAAAATCGAAAACGCGGAAATACAAAACGCGCAATGAAATGCAAAACGGAAACGTTTCTTGATTGTAAATGGCTGTGCCACATGCAGCCTGTCTGGCTGGACCCGAGCTGGAATGCGTCTGTGGACGTGGAAATTGATGCACTTGCCGCCAGCCGCAAGGTGTATGCAGCTGTCTGTCGGTCTCTCTCTCTCTGTGTGTGTGTGTGTGTGTGTGTGTCGCGTGGTAAACAAATAAACAAAGGGTTCAACAAAAGCAGCCGAACAAAGTAATTCAAAACAAGCGCGTTATTGAAATGTTTGAGCGAAACGCCAAAGGATCTCGATTTACCTCCATTCATCCCGCTCATCCGCCATTTGCAGCCCTTGTTATCCTTTGCAGCACAAGGAACCGCATTGTTTGTTTATTTACTCCTAAATGCCGAATAATCCGCGAATTAAAGTGCTTTTGAGATACTTGAAAGGGTGGGCAATACATTCGTATAGTATACTTCTTAATACAGGGTTTCTGCGATGGTTTATCTGGGAGAAAATACAGCTTTATGCTTTAACTTTAAGTTTTTTTATAATTAGACGGTAAGCATAGTTAATTGATATTTGGTCTTTCTAAATCAACGAGAGTCTTAAATTTGAGACCCTAAATATGGGATCCCAGTTGATACTCTTTACTTAATTTTAAATTAATTACATTTAATGCTCTATGTCCCTTAAAAGAAATTTAAATTATAATTTGTGAAGTATTTGAAGCTATAAGAATATCGTCTCTGTGATAATATTAGAAAGATTTCTATTCTGATTAAGTTTCAAGTTTTTAATTTTGCTATTCTAATGTTGACACTCGTCTTGTCGACCATTAATAAATCAATAAAAAAAACAAATAAATAAATAAATATAAAATAGCTAAGTTAATAAAGCCCCTTATCATTTATCTATAAACATTTTGGAAACAATTTTGATTTATTTTATACTATTTGCGCAGAGGCTGAGAAGGTTTTCAGACTCTCGCCTATATAGATATTTGTTAAAGAACCAAGAAGTATTATAGCATACTCTTAGGCTGAATTTGGAAAACTGTTAAGCAATTATACGATACCAATAATTAATGCACTTAATACATACTTTCAAAATTAATGTTATCAGCAGCCAAAGAATCTTCGACTTCCTCCTGATTCCCAAATGAAATGCGTATAGAAAAACCTGCCCTGATAATGAAACCTTTCTCAGCAAATTGAATCTATATATTAGATGGCGATTTGATTATTAATTTCTATTTAATATTTATTGTGAAGAATGAAAATTTAGTGAAGTTTCCCAAATAGAATAAACATAATAGATTCTACCTAAATACTTATATATTCCTCCGATCTGCTTTTAACTCAATTTCAAAGCTGTACATGAAAAATAAAAGCAGGCGTAAAATTGATTTAAAATCTTATGGAAAATACTTTGCCCGCTTAATGTTTCATAACTCCGCCTGTAAAAAATTACCTATCGAAATTCCCGGGAAATATTCCGCAATTTAAAAGCCGCTTTGGTTGTTAGCATTCTTAATGCTAGTCTAACATTTATGGGTCCCATTGCAGTGTGCCCCAAATACACATTTCATGTGTTAATCGCGCTTATAAAAACAAATTAAACTTCAATTTCGGGCGCCGACTCGTTGGGAGCGTATCGTGTGGTTGTCTGGTGGCTTGTGCCACTCGGAGCCGGAGCAGGATGGGCGGCCAGGCTATGGCAGACAACTCCTTGAGTCCCATTCGCTTGGTCCTAGATCTTCAGTTTCGCTGGGGTTGGAGCTGGTTGGCGGTAGGCGGGGGGTAGGGGGAGCAGATGTTAAGCAACTTCCGCTTCGGTTAAATGAAGTTAGCTTGTTGCGACTTATGCAAAAGTTTTCAATTGCCGTTTATTATTGTTGTTTTCTTTTATTTTTATTGCTGCTGCTCCTCGCGCCTCGCGCTTGCTGGCAGCCAACACGCCAGCTCAAGTGAAATGCAAATTTATTCAAAATGTTGAACGGCAAAAGTTGCCCACCGCTGTCAGAAAGTTGTCTGGATTAAGGTCTATGGCGATAATTAAATACCATTTTTCGCATTTATATTTGCATCCCGTTGAATAATTGCCTTCATTGCGCAACTAATTCGTTTTATATTTAAGTCAAATTCATAGAAAAGTTGAAAGCTAAAATTAAAGACAACCTCTGTGTATTTTAAATGAATATGCTACTTGGCTTAGGCTAATAGGACTTACCCGGTATAATTAGGGATCATAAATTGGGAGACATGTCTCATATATCTTATCAAAATCATCTGCAATGTGTCCATATCCGACTTTTATATAGATCTTTTGCCGATCTCAATGACTGTAAAATCTAAAGAGAAATCGGAATTATGTTCATTCTTCTTGCTAAAGAACGTTGAGAAAACTTTGTTCCCGTTGTAAATGAAATCAATTTGTAAGATATTGCCGATATACATAAAGTCGTTTGAAGTATTATGAACCGAATCCTTAAACCAAACAGTTGCCTAAAAAACAACCGAACCGAAGCGAAAACCGAGCCGAGTGTTCTTTAAAAACAGGTTGGCTTAAATTAAAAAGCTTTTGAGCGAGATCCAATACCAATTATATTTCGCTGATTTAAAATGGGCGGATAGGGCGTGGCAGATATATGGTATTCTTCTACAAGTATGTGTTATGGAGACAGCGATGTCGATTTATGTAAATTACAGGGTATACATATTTCCATCAATAATATAACAGTTCAAGCATAGTTTTTCGATAGAATGTGAACATTTTTGCTCACTGTCAATTATTTTACACCCATATATGTGATTAGTTTTGTATTTAAACGAAATTTGTTGTTTACGCTAAATTAAAAGTGATTAAGAGTTGAGTACTATGGGGGATGATCGACCATTGCAATACAATATCAAGTGGGATGTGTGGGAGGGCAAGCCCATAACAGACATTCATTTCAAGCAAGTATCCAAGCAAGTATCCAACACAGAGTCCTAACCCAATTCTATACAGGAATTACGGCATCGTTATAGAGTTTATGTGGGAGAATTCATTTCTGCAGAGCAGCGTATATGAGGGACTCGGTCTGCACGAGTTGGCGGAAATGAAGGGTATTTATACGGATTATTGTAGGCATATCTTACGGAACGAGTGCTCCGTGATGATGATGAACGAGAGTGAGACCCAGATTGAGGCCGTGGCCCTGCTTGAGTGGATGACTGACGCTTGGCATTCCTGGTAAAAAGAGAAAGACTGAAATATTAGCCCAATTAATAGACAAAACTAATCGAATCCCTTTGTAGGGTGTTTCTGCCCTCATATGTTGCGAAGGGTCTCTTCCAGAAGCTGATCGATTTGAAGGAACAGCTTATGAGCGATACCAAGAGGAACCTAAACTTGGATAACTTTGATTGCCTGATGGTGCACGAAATTGGCTTCCCAAGCGAATTGTACGAGGACCAGCATTTCGCGATGTGCATCTTCGACGTGTTCGGCATGGTGGCCCAGCACATGCACATGCCTCGAGTCTGCTTCATCGCCCTGACCTGCAAGGACCAGTATATGTCTGCATTGGCCGAGTACACCGAATACGGCAGATCGATCTACTCCATTTATAAGGCTGAGGGCAATAAGCGGCCATTCGATTGCCTGCGCGACCTGGATGAAATGTACGCCCTGCTCTATGTGCTGCCTCTGGATCCGATACTGCATTATATGGAATGGCCTGGATTCGAGGCCTTCCACGAAGCTCTAAAGGCAAAAGAGCTCAAGGAGAAGGAGGAGGAGTTGATGCGACAAAATGATCTGTGAAACAAATAGATATACTTATGTAAATAGATTAAATCGTAAAACAATTTGTTCCCAGGTGTATTCAATTTGTTTTAGATAAGCTGTAAGACAAACGAGAGAATGTTATCCCGAATTTCATTTTACACGATCTTTTTGAAGCTTAAAGAATTTCATAATTTTGGAAATCCTTTAAATTCATATATGTATGTACATGCTTGAGGCATTAAAGCGGACATTCATGTTCTTCTATTGCAATAAAAATTGGGCTCACTTCTAACTGCATATAGAGGAAACACAATACATATACTTTTTTTTTGGCAGATGTAGAATAAAAAATAATATACAATAGAAAATTTGGAAATTTTTCAAAAGCTTTCTAGTTGTTTAGGTCTCTTGGAAGAAACTTTCCCAAACTGAAGCATAAATCTGCAATATGTAATTTAAATAATTTTAAATAAGTTTACCCTGATATTTTATCCCTGGCAATGTAATGAACGTATTTGAAATATAACTTATTAATGTAATAACTATTATTATTATTTATTTTAAAGTCAAATTTAAGCGATGCAAAGGGCTGCATTGATTTCGCACTTAGTTCGCCTAGGAACTAGTTCAATTGGAATGAAAGCAGCTTAATACATATATGTAAGTTTTATTGGTGCAGTGAGAATCTATACAGAAAATTCACATCATTTGGAAATTTCTGAAGCATTTGCAATTTGTTTAGATCTCTTGGAAGAAAAATAAATCTGCAATATTTAATGTAAATAATTTTAGATGGCCAATGTAAAGAACGCATTTGAAATATAATTATAATTGTTATTAATTTTAATTTCAAATTTAAGGGCTGCATTTCTTTCGCACTCAGTTCGCTTAGGAACCAGTTCAATTGGAATGAAAGCCGCGGCAAACGCAAAAGCGATAAGGCAAGCCTGATAAGCATTGTTTATTGTTTATATATAGAAAGATTTCTGTGTCTGTAATGCACGCTCGAGTAATTAGTATTAGCAAGAGGCACTTGATTTCTGCTGATAATACACTAACTAATCTGAAGCGGGGATCGCTACAACTTGGCGTTAAGTTTGGCGGCCAGCAACAGGCTGAGGACATCGTCGGCACAGCCCTCGCACAAGGTGACGCCGCTGCCGCCGTGTCCATAGTTGTGTATGAGCAGCTTTCGGCCGCGCCGCTCCGATTCCAGGCGCACCTGGACTCGACCCGGACGCAGGCCAACCCAGTCGAACAGGTGCTGCGTGTGAACTAGGCCTGGCATCAGCCGGCGACAACCGTCGATAATGAAACGCTTATCCGCATCGGAGACCTTGGTGCTGTAGTCCTTCTCCTGGTGGGTGCCGCCAAGCACCACGGACTCAGTGCTAGTTGGGTATGGCATATTTGAGTCGGATAGTCAGATAGTTGGGCTATATATTCAGATACATGACTCACTTGGGTATGATGTAGTTGCCGTCATCGCTTTCGTCCAGGATGGCGGCGAACACCCAGTTGGCCTTGATGCGGCTCACCTGGCCACGCACGGCGTACATGTTGGCATCGTTGAGCAGCTGCCTGGAGCCCAGGCCTGTGCAGTTGACAATCACGTCGTATGGCGAGTCTCTGACAAAGCTCTCCAGATCTGTGACCTTCTGCTGCTCAACTCGTCCACCCTTGCGCACAAAGCGTTTCATCAGGTAGGGCAGCAGCTTAAGCGGCTCCGAGGTGTACGTAACAAAGGAGAGGCCCGAGCTGGAAGACACTAAACATGTTAAGTATTGGAAAGCCTGTAGATAAAAGCGCTCACTTACGTAAATTTGACGTCTCTGTTTTTATTATAAACAGCCAGTTGATCGGGCGTGAGATCCACTGCACCGTAGACAATGTCGCGCCAGAAATCCTCCACGCTGACGTTGGGATCCGTGCTCAGGCGGATGCAGGGCAGCAGGCAGACGCCCGCCTCGCCCGCATCCTCACTCAGCCATATCTTTTCCAGAAAGTTGTGCATGCTCTTGGACCATTGGCTATTGGAACAACTTGATCTTTAATGGATACAAAGATGAACTTCTGTTATGACACCTACTAGATCTTGGACTGTTCTGTGCCGCCCAGCAAGAAGGGCCCCCATAGTCCGGCCGATCCATCGCCCGTCGTATTGGGCGTAAACTCTTCCGATATTATGCTAACCTGCACATTGAGCTTATTTTCTTCTTGATAATACTCCAAGATTTTGAGTGCACTCGCAACACCGTTCACACCCGCCCCGATAACAGCTACTTTCATCATGATTCCGTCCGCGATCAACAGCCAAACTAAACTGAGTACGGGTGTGCATCGGAGGGACTCTAATCAGCTTCATATTCGCACTCACAATAATCAATTGATAAGCGACACGAACTTTAATAATTAGCTCACACTTCTTCGACCCTGAAAATAATAATTATCCATTTATATTATTAATTTTATATTTAATTAAAAAAATACTTTTTTATTTATTTATTTGGGCCTTAAAAATTATGAAGTATGCTATGAATTCTAACTCATGCCGACCTTCAACGCAGCTGTGAGGCATCCGAGAAACAATCATTAGCTCTCTATTTTTCGATCCTTTCGCTTCGACTAGCTTCTAAATTTGTATTAAATTTATATTTTCCTTAATCTCGATCTAAGCCAAGCTTCTCAAAGATGTGCGGAGGCGGTTGTGGTCCATGCGGAGGCTGTGGTCCCTGCGGAGGTTGTGGTCCATGTAATCATTGGCCTTGCTGTGGCCCGCACAGTCCGCCATGCGGTGCTCCCTCGCCTATTCCCTGTTCACCTGCGCCAGGCGTCTGCTGTCCGCCCCTGCCCGAGGGTGGCATACCCGACCCACGGGTCTGGAATTGTTGGAATACACCGCCAACCTATCCATGTAAGTTGGCGCCCGTCCGATTTTCGATAGCTACCTAGACCTGGATTAGTCCGCGGTTGTCCGTTCCCTCGTTCGTCTGCCGCATCAGCCTGAGACTGCGCGTGCCACAGCATGGTTCAAATAAAATGTTCCAGTTAGATTCTAATTAGTTCCCTTGAAGGCTGCTACGTTTGTCCCACGCGCTACTTGAGAAGGAAAGACAATGCACCCTGTGTTTGGTGCGCACCATGCAAGGCTCACTGCTACAACACTCCACCGAAATGTTGTTGCTAGCGAGTCTCGCATAATGCGCCGACAGGGACTCATTCTATAAGGAAAATAACATTCATAGTATACGCCAAAAAACCAGCTACCCAATCCTAATCCTAATGTCAAATTCTGTAAGTAACTGTTGTAGCTATTCGTATTTTGATCTGTGCTTATTTGTTGCCTTTTCCAGGTGGATTTTGATGGACCAGCTCGTGAAGAAAGCATTGGAATAGATAATTCGATGTTTAAGAAACTGGATGGGGTCGGGTCAAGTCGGTGAATGGCTGTTACTGTGAACACATTGGAAAGAACAAATTTGGAAGCCAAGTTGAATCAAGAAAGATAAAAATTATGGCACTGCGAAGATCTGCTGCTTGAACAGGAGTGTAAACTTTTCGAAGAAGGTTCTGTATTTGTACAGTCAATTGTGGCGCTTCGAAATATTGCAATGCCATTTAAAATGGTATATACTTAAGCCAGGCTTCTATCCTTCGCGACTCGAGGCGCTTTTAAAGGAGTTGGCACAAATTGAGCGAATGCGACCTGAACAGGAAACGAATCGGAACTCTTCTTTGAATTTTAACAATTATTAAAATCGAAATTTTCAGTTATACCCCTTTGTTTAAAATATATTTTGGAATCTATTTATTGCATTTCATTTTAAGGGGGCAAATGGGTGAAGTCTAGACTAATATAGTAAATAAGGTACTCGACTTGGAAATACCCTGGGCTGTGCTTGACGTGGGCTAATTGCATTCTTAATCAACATTGTAAATGGATAAATAAATGGAAATATTGACATTAATATGGCATCAAAATTTGTGTTCTTCTGGGGAGGTGTCGAAGGGGAATTATTTTAATTAGTAGACGACGTTTCAAGCCAAAAGGATACTAAGGGAGTGCGGGAATGGAATATTCCAAATTTTTCTGGTGCTAGTTACCGAGATAGACACGTTTTTACAGAAAGAAGCCTCTAGAGCGAATCTGGCTGTCATCCTCAATAGATACATTCGCAGCCATCATACCCTTTACATACAATTTAGAAAAAGAAATGTTACGAGATTGAATCAAGGGACACCTAAAGATACTCCCTGCATCCAATTTGTGCAGGCTGATTAAAGATATGGTATTAAAGAAACAGAATTGAAAAAGTGTAAAGGCCAGCGGAAGACAATCTCGAGGCAAGAGTTTGGGGTGAAAGAAAAGCCCGTGGCAAACTATGTCAAGGTAAATTAATTTGGTATATTTTGTGGACGAACCATGTTTATAAAAGCTAAAGGTTGACAGTCTATTTGAAAATAAGCTAAAACTAAGCATGCCTTGAAAACTTATCAAGTAGGCTATGAATTCTAGCTCAAATTGATGTTCAACTTTTTCGGAACAAGGCTGTGGAGTTTCCAGAAAATAATCATTAGTTCTCTGTCTTTCATAACTTTCGCTTCGACTGGCTTCTAAATTTTTACTACAAAATTAAAATATATTTTTTCAAGTTTATCTCTATCTAAACCAAGTATCATAAAAATGTGCGGAGGCGGTTGTGGTCCATGCGGTGGCTGTGGTCCCTGCGGAGGCTGTGGTCCATGTAATCATTGGCCATGTTGTGGCCCGCACAGTCCGCCATGTGGTGCGCCTTCACCCATCCCTTGCTCGCCTGCGCCAGGCGTCTGCTGTCCGCCTCTGCCCGAGGGTGGCATTCCCGACCCACGGGTGTGGAATTGTTGGAATACACCACCAACCTATCCATGTGAGTTCGCGCGCGTCTGTTCAAATTAACGAACGAGGCACCCTGTGTCTGCGCTGCATAATGCAAGGCTGCTTGCTACAACACCCCACCTCAGCTAATAAATAATGTGTTCCCCTTAACCTTCAGGTGGCTTTTAATTAACCAGATTAAAGCTGAAGAAAGCGGTGCAATAGATAGTTCGGTGTTGTGTATATAACTGGAAGGGGTCAAGTCCACAAACCCATTGGAAATCGACGGTCTGGGGGATGGTTGTAGTTGTGAAACTTTAATTGGAACAAATTTGGAAGCGAGTTGAACATAGAAAGATAAAATGACTCAACAAAGATTCAATTCGATCCAACAAGAAGACTGAACTATTCGCAGAAGATTTTGGATTTGTTCGGCAACTATGGCGCTCCGAATCGCTGCTATATCGTTTACTGAGGCAAAATTCTATACTTCGAGACTCGAAGCGCTAAAGAGTTGGTAGAAATTCTACGAATGCGACCTGAACAAGAAACAAATCTGAACTATTCTTTGAATTTTAAAAATTGTAAATTCAAAATTTTCAGTTACTCAAAATTTGGACCCCTTTTTGAACTTTTGGCAAATTATATTTTGGAATCAACGCACGGGTTTAATCTGGGGGTAAACGGGGGAATAAAAACTGTAAAATGGAAAATCTAAAGAATCTTTAGTTCAAGACAGTGGCAATTGGTGAAATTACCAAGCGTCTGTAAAAAATACGTTTCGGGATTTTTGATCAATCTGGTATTTGCTTGAATTTCTTCATTTCCATTCTTTGGTCACACTCAATTGGTGTAATGTAGATAAAAGTAATTTCGTAATCGATTGATAAATTGCCATTGAACTGCAATTTGTACTTGGCACTTTTGGATTGCAATTTTTAACAATATATATAAATGCGTATGGTGGCTGCTTGAAGCCAGTTGTCCTTTTACATTTTACTTTACATACTTTGTATAAAACGCATTAGTGACAGGACAAACATATTTTAAAATAAGTACTTGGAGAATGTCTTTTTGCTTAAAACTGGAAGTTTCACTGCCTTACATACACTTAAAATTATATTATATTATTTACATTGGGGGAAATAGGCGACTATTTCGTGGCCATATCCCTTGACATTTGCTCCGTCTCCAAATCCAACACGACATTTGTCAATAGTTTCTTTGCCTTTATCTGGAGATCCCGATCCAAGCGTGTTATGCTTTGTACGATAAAGTTACCATAATGGAACAACTCGCTCGGCTCCGACGTGCTCCTTTCCGCAGCTGGTGGTGCTATGCTATTAACTGCGGTAATATTTAACGCAGCATCATTGGAGGCACGCATTCTTTTTGCCGATTGCGACGATTCAGCATTTCCTGCAGAGGTCGTATCAGGGAAACTTGTTGAAGCTGGTTTTGTTGCGGCGGGAGCTTCCTCCTCTTCCTTCTCCCACTCGGTTACGACGGGGGGGCTCTCAATGTCGTTAGCGTACAATGAGTCTTCTGTATGAAAACTACTCTCGTCCGATACCTCCAATTTCTGTTAATTCGAATATGAAGACATTAAGGCAATAGTTGTAATAGAAACACACTCACACATACGCTAATGTTACTCCGGGTAGAGATATTTGGACCAGGTTTGGAAGTAATCAACTGCAGAAGGAAATCCATCTTGGACTTATTCTTCCAATCGTCTAATGCACTTTTCTGATACATATACTTGTAATAGGATTTCAGGTTGTTCCATTTCCTGCACACATCAGCTGCAAATAAAATGTATATTGTTGCAGTACTCTCCATAAATGATATTGCCAATATTTACTCACCTTGTGTTACTGGAGTATTTGGCTTGTATTTGGTGTTAATGTCCTCGGTCAACTTCACCCAGAAATCGTTCTTCATGGGCCTCACTTTGTATAACGGATTCGCTGGGTTCCACAGGTATTCTTCGGCATGGACGCTCTCGATAATAAACTCAGTTACTTCGTCCGTAAATGTGTACTGTAACATTTTTGCACGATCTTTTCGTTTATTTATCGCCGATTTAATTATTGCACACCAAATATGCTAGTGCTAAGCGTCTTCATTACTTGGTTTGTTGAAAAAAGTGCGATAGAATGTGTGTGCGAAAGAGCCAGCATGACATAATTGCGGATTTCTAGCGTTAGCTAGCATGGTCACACTCAATGTTCAAATTTAAATAAAAAAAGAATCTGGGAAATGCTTGTAAATTAATTAAATAATATAAACTATTAATAATAGAAAAAATGGGTTTATGTAAAAATGTTGTTACAGTTATATTTAATTATTATAATATAATTCACAATAAAGAAAACGAGATGGCAACAAACAGCTATAAAACAAACCCAAACCTTTCAGAGATTACATTTGTATATTTAAAAAAGTGAAACCGAAATATGCCTAATAAATGGGAAATGCATAAAGTTGGCCATGACTTCGAGCTCAAATTGATATTCAACTTTTTGACCATGAGGCTGTGAGCCTTCCAGGTAAAATCATTAGTTTTAGCTGGATTTCGGCCCATTCGTTTCGGCTCGCTTCTAAATTTTTTTTATCAAAATTCAAAATTTCCCTTAAAATTTAACAAAGTAAGTTTGTGGAATCTTAAGTGAAAAATAATATAGTCAATAATTTGGGACTTGTATTTAATGAGAGAGTAATTAATATATATATCTATTATTTTTTAACATGTAGAAACAAAAATTTAAGATGTGTGACCCATGTTGCGGACCATTTGAGGTAAGTATTTGTGTGTGTTAGCCCGTCTACTGGTGGGTCGTGTATTCGTGCACTCGGCAAGGATATGCATAGCGAAACCTGAACCCTATTGCCAATAATGCTCGTGCCGCAGGCTGCGCCACGCATATCGCCGCCGTGTCCAAAGTCCGTCACGGTGCAGCAGCCGCCTCGGCTGATATGCAAAAAGAATGTTGTCTATTGCGAGAAAACGATAGAAGAGCCGATGGTTGTGAATCGCTGCAGGAAAATTACCATACCCAAGGTCGTAGAAACGACGCGTGTGATACAGGTGCCCAAGCTCATATGGGTTCCGCAGATGGTTCGCGAGCCAAGGGTCATCTACTATCCGTCGACAGTACCAGATCCTTATATGGTGTGCCATCCAAAGAAAGTCTGCGAGCCGCGAGAGGTGTGCCAGACGCTGCTCTGCCAGCCAAAGCCACAGATTATTGACGTACCACCGCCTAACGAGTACTGCTGCTATGCGAATGGGCCGGTCGGCTTCGCGGCCAGCCCTTCATGTCCACCATTGAGCGGAAATTATTGCAGTCCAATGTCCACCTTTGGTCCATCGTACGCCCATCAGTATCGTACGAGTGAACGTCTACCTTGCGGACCCTGTGGGCCTTAAATTGACGGCTCGTGCTAAATTTACACCCAACTATCAGAGTGGGCAACATTGATTGCACATGCTTTGATACGTGAACTCTCACAACGATCGGAGCGTTGCAATCAATTGTTGCTCGCCTTGATAGAGGAGGTAATTGTTGCCGCCTATGTTTGATCCTTGTCAGTTAGACCGAATGCACTTATCAAGCAAATCTTAAATCCTAATGCATTCTCCCTCCTCTCCAATCTGCAGCCCAGGGGCTGTCGGAGTCGCGAACTACGCTGTGGCATCCTATATACGTCCTGCGACTGCGTCAAGCGTAATGGAATGCAGGACAAGTGCCCGAGGGCGGCATGCCAAGGGCGGCCAGCATGCATGTGTTTCCCGTTCCCCACCTGTGGACCCGCGTCGTTCCCGTTGCGCTTCGCCAACATGACCATGGGCGTCAACAACAAGCGTATGCGATGCGCCGCCACTGCTGCAACTTGCGCAGGTGGCGGTGGCCTTGCTCGTGCCTGTGGTGGCTGTTGCGGAGGTATTTAAAATCTCTCTACAATTAACCCTTGGCTGTGGTCCGCCGTTGCCGTTGGCCTGGGCATGCCACAGCCTTGTTCCAGTAATATCCTAATTTGAAATTCATTTTAAGGCTGCTGATCCTGGCCCTGGAGATACACACCGTGCACCCTGTGTCTGGTGTGCATAAGCAAGGCTCACTGCTACAACACGCCATTGCGCATGTTCAGCGACGTCACAATCTCCATCTAATCACGAGATGTTAACTTTTAAGGAAATGAATGCGTCAAATTAATATCCAACCCTGTACCCCGTACATACCCCATATCCAAGTGAGTACAGCTACGATCCTTCGGATGGGTTCACTTCATTTTCGGCTTGCTCTCCAGGTGGTTTCTGTCCAGATATTGTTTGGTGTTGTATGTATAACAAATGCAGATCCGTATCCAGAACTATACAGGACGCATCTGGTGGATGTGTTTGCGTACTGAGGGGTTGGTACACATTTAGAAGCAGTTGAATTGGAAAATTTATGATGACACTAAAGAGAGAATGAACTAATCACAGAAAACTGAGATATTGCGGGCGACTGCGTGAGGCTTGTGGAATGTACATCTTTGGGACGAATTCGCATATAGCGAATGCGACCTGAACATAAAACGGATCTCCAGTTCTTCGAATTATAAGTAATTGTCGAATTATAAATTCAAGAGTTAATAACGAGAAAAGCTTCGCTTTTCGGACCCAAGCTTAGAGTTTGGGCTAATTAAAGCAACTAATACATAATACATTTTTATGTTTTGGGGCGGCTAGCTGGGGAAAATGCTTTACAATTATGCTTACTTGCAGTGGTCCCTTTTTCCTGTGCGTCCGTGCAGCGAGCATTTAAATTAGTTTAAATATGAATTTAGGTTTACAAATTTCCAGTGTGACCGCTTGCAGGCATTGCAAAAATACACAAAATACTGAATACTGCATTTTGAATAAATTGTAATCAGTGCCAAAAAATTGCCTGCTCTACTAAGGTTGGTATTTAAACGGTCACTGTTTCGTTCAATGTGTGCTATCCAATGCATTCGTTAAGCTGCGCGAATGCGCGGGAAATAAGATTTGAATTTGTATTCACAAGTTAAAAAAGAAATTGCGTTAATACACATTGAAATGTCAACATGTCTGGAAATTGACAATTATTGAAATCTTAAGTTATTTTGATGCAATATTGGCATTAACTTATATTTATTAGAATAATCAATTATATACAACAATTTAATACTAATTCGTGTTTTATGCGCTCGTCTTTTATATGTTTATGTTAAATTTAATAGCTAATGGATGGAATGCTTTAAGTTTTCTGCATAAAACAACGTGGGGCGTTCGTCTCTCGTTCGTCGGCTAACATAATCTCGTCTTTAAAAGTATTTTACGCAAACTAAAAAACTAACGTCGCGAAACTGAGTTGGAAATGGAGAATAAGGGAAGCGGCTGTGAGGCCGGTGCATTACATGGCCGTCTCCAAGGGCTGGCTATGGCTGCGTCCATTGGCGTGGAGCGGCACCAGGCCACCCTCGCCGGCCTCGCTATCAAAATCCGTCTCGAGCAGCGCCTCCGACTTGGACCGGTGATACGGATTGGCACTGGCCCGCGGTGTTGGCGACGTGGGCGACCTGGGCGTTGCGGGCGACGCCTCCTGCGCTGCCGTTTGGTAAACAGTCTTTGGTCGTGACGCGTGCACCGTGGGCGCCGCCGGCGGCTGGGCCAGTGGCCTGGGCGTGCGATAGTGCGATGTGGGCGCCTTGCTGCTGCGCACTGCCGTATAGTAGGAGTCCGGCCGGCGCATATCCGCGGGCGACACCTGCTGCGGCACGGCGGGCGCCGGACGATATAGCGACGACTCTGTGGAGAAGTTGAACTGGTCTAGCTTCTGGTCGAAGGGCAGCGAATCGCCGCTGCTGCGCTGCGGCAGGAAGCTGCTGTGCGAGCTGCGCTGATATTCCGGCAAATTCTGCTTCAGCTCGCTGAGAAAGGCCAGACCCGGCTGGCCCCGGCGTCCGCCCACGCTGCTGCTGCCCGTATCCGTGCGCAGCGGCAGCGTGCTGGCATTGCCATAATAATCCGAGCCCAGCTCCTCGGTCTCCGCGTCCGTCTGATGTATAATGGGCGTGTCCTCCGCCACGCTGGTGCTGATGGAATTGGCGCGCGTGCCGCCGCCATAGGTCGAGTTGTCGCGGAAGCCCTCGTTGCGGTAGCTCAGCTCAAAGGCATCGGGCTCCAGTGCGGCGGCAGCTGCCCGGGCGCGATGTGCGCTGCCCTTGGATATGGTGGCCACCTTGGGTGGCTGCTGCTGCTGCTGATGCTGATCCTGGGCAGCGGGCCTGAGCGCATTTTGGTTGACGTACTCATTGTAGTGGGGCTTCTGGTCGTAGCCCTCGAAGCTGCCCGCCTCCGAGCTGAGCACGCTCTTGTCCATGGAGTCGATGGAGCCATTGGCCACCATCATCTGCTTGTAGTCCTGGCTCTTCGACAGGGTGCCATTGCTGGACATGTTCTGAGGCAACATAAGCAGAAGCAAAAAGGAAAAACAAAACGAAAAGAAAAACTCAACTAAAGCGAACTAAAGATGCGTTAAAAGATGCGAAAATCATACATAATTGGGACGACGGCGCAGGGATCCTTGCGGATCGATGCTGTTGAGGCTGCGCAGGCTCTGGCGAATGCTGTTGCGTCGCTGCAGGCGCTGCACATGCCGGTGCTTGGACTTGGCGAACCAGCAGAAGGCCACCAGGATGAGCAGAATGATGGCCAGCACAAAGGCCGAGATAATACTTATGGCAAAAATGTCCGCGCGCCACGACAGCGGATCGATGATGACCTGCAGGCAGGACAATTAATATATATTTACATTTAACTCTAACTGCTTCTTACTCTCGGATCCATTTCGCAGATGAAGCCGCGCTCCTTGTTGCAGTCCCCGACCTCGACCTCGTTGAAGACGAAGCTCGTGCAGCGCTCGATGTGATTGTAGTCCTGTATCCAGACCTTCTCCGGGTACTTGAGATGCCGCATCTGGCTCTGCAGATACTTCCACAACGTGGTACTGTCAGTGCGTATGAAGGGCATGGTCGAGTTCTCCGACCGACAGAAATCGCGCGCCTCGTGGAAGCTCATTGGCGCGCCGACATAAATGAAGCAGGTGTCGTGCACCAGGGCCCAGCCGGGCGGACACTTGCCGTCCAAAATGGTCTCGTTGTTCATTTGGAACGGCACGGCCAGCACCTCCAGCAGCATGGGATCATCTGCAAAGCAAATCGAAAAGGAATTTTAGCAGCTGTAAATCGGATTCTAGGTCCTAGATCCTACCGTGCTTATCCCGAATGCGCGACTGCACCGAGATGGTGTTGTTGTAGCTCCAGTAATTGTGGCGTGCGTCTATCTTGGAGCTCCACGTTTCAAAGGTCCTTGGATGAGATGAGATTTGATAAAGTGAAAGATAAGTAATTGTTTTTAATGTAATGCGTATTATGTGCTCACCTGTTTTCATAATCAAAGCTCATACTAGGTGTTCAGGAAGAGAGAGAGAGAGCGCGGGGAGAAAGAATAGGATGTAGAGTAGAAAGTTAGATTAAAGTGGGTTAATATTTACATTGAGAATGTGAAAAGTAAATCCACTAGCAAGGGAAAAACCTTCTAACCAATGTTGATAAATCTCTATACCAGATAGTTTATGGAATATTTTAAGGAATATTTTCATTTTATTTTTTAGATATTCGTCTGTATTTTAAGTTCTATATTTTCTCCATTTATGTTGAGCTAAGAACTTTAGTTATAAATAAGAACTTCATGTGCAAGATTATGAAGTGTTTCCTAAACTCTTTCAAAGATATTCCTTCGCCAATTTAACGAGTATTGATTCGTACTTTATTAAAACTGCGTTGACCTTTAGAATTGAGGCTCATTATGAAAATGGAATTTATATTGCTCTCTTACGGAAAATTCCAAAAAAATTCCCCAAAAATTCTCGAGTTTTTATATAATAAGTTTTCCCACATTCCCCCATAACCCCGTACTTTGATAATACTCTTGATCGTACTTTGCATAGATATTTTTTAACTAGAAGAGAGCTTAACAGTTGGGCTTGGGTACACATTAATCGACTTATAGATTCCTTCCTCCGCTTTAAGCTAGCCCTTACTTACATGGAATTATTGACTGTCAGCAGCTCGTAGTCGTTCTCATAGTTCTCGAATATGTTGTCCACGTACTGCTGACCCGCGGTGCCTGCCACAATTGTCGCTCGCGACATCCAGTTGGTGGCCACATTCCTGAATAAAAAGCATATTAAAATTATTTGCAACTAATTTCTACTAGCCACCTACCTGTAGAAACCATTGTGGGCCGTTGTCTGATAGATCTGGAGTCGCACCTTCTCGAAGCCGGAAACCTCCATGATGCGACCGCCCACATTGCTGTGGACGTAGTTGTGGCTAAAGTTGGACACGACTTGGCAGAGTCGGATGACCTCCTCGTAGCCGGCCATGTTCTGGGCGAAATAGTTGCGATACAGCTCGACCTCCTGGTAGGGCGACGACTGACGACCCTCCACAAACAGAGCGGGACGATTGCGATTCCGCATAAACAGATTGTGATGCACAAAGCCACGCAGCGAGGTCGCGGTGCCGCGGGAATCGGCACGTATGCGCAGCCCACCCTGGTTTTCCAGCAGCAGATTGTTCTACAAGGATTCGAGATAAGTAATTTATCTGAGCAGATAAATTGGGGGTAACTGACCATAAAATATAGGGAGTTCATGTTCTGCACGTCCAAGTTGAGCGCCGAGGCGCAGGTGGAGAAATTGCCATAGAGTTGCTTGCAGTTCCTCTCGATGCGATTGCCGATGAGCGTCAGGGTTGGCGTGACCTCTCCCGCCGAGGCATAGCTGACGGCGCCCTTCATGGCACCCGAGATGTGCGTGTCCGTGATGTTGTGCAGGGCATCGCGATCTGTGGAGTAGAGCAGGGTTAGCCAAATGATTCCGTCTTATTTCTAACAAGCTTACATTGTCCCAAAGTGGAGATGGGCACCGTGACGACCTCGGCTATGAAGCCGTGTGTCTCTGGGGCGCCACTGGCGACCAGTTGCAGACTCAACGTGGGACCCTTCGTCTTGAAGAAGGAGCGCTGATTGTTTGTGTCCGATTCAATCTTGCCCAGATACGTGGCCGTCACATTGTAGATGTCGCCGTCGTAGAGCCTAATGAAGTCCGTGCGTCCGTAGAGCTTTGAGTGATTGAAAAGATTCGATTGCAGCAGACGGAAGCCGATGGGTTTGGCGCGAAAGGCGGACGTGAAGATCTTGACACAGTTGACCGGATTATTATCGTACTTGTAGTAGACCAGCATGCGCTCCTCTATGGTCAGCACCTTCTGCGGATCACAAATGTCCACCAGCGAGAAGAGCTTGTAGGGCAAGTCGAGCTGCTTGAGCGGCGTGAAGCTGGACTCATCGCTGTCGCGACCCTCGCCGCTGAGCGAGACAATGCTGATGCCCGTGCCGAGGGTCCGGTTGATGTTCAAATGGTTGAGGTTCAGCTTGCCACTGGGCGCTATCAGGTTGATGCCATGGTTGGCCGAGTTCTCGATGCTGACCGAGCTGATGATGGGGTTCTTGTGTATGGCCTGAATGGCGGCCGCCTTGTGGTTGTGCAGAATGCCGGCCTGCTCGATGCGCACGAACTCCAGCTGGCTCTCGCGCTGCTGCGTCTGGGAGCCGTGGGA